GGAATTTATTTAATTAAATTCGAATTAATTATATTTATTTATACAAAACTAAAAATTAAGATTGATATGCGTTTCTTTTCTATTGAATGTAACTATGTTTCATTTTAATATAGAAAGTGAAACTCGTCCTATATTTTGAAAGTTTACTTAAAATAAGACAAAAGAAAATTTGATTAACTGTATTGACCAAGATTGATGCGCAAAGCGAACAAAATGATACCAACATTTGTTTGAAATTGTTATCTTTATTCCTTTTATTAAAAAAAGATAATGATTTACAGTTATGTTTTAGTATCTACCATATGATCAAGTTTTCTATCAAAATAAGAGAACATTTTTCATAGTATGTGGTAAACATTGTACTTTATCAATGTTTATTACAGTGTACTTTAGTAATGTTACTATTACATTTTTTATCTTGAATTATGTTGTATATACAAATTTTTATTATAACTAGTCATAGATAGATATTGGAAATTGTAAACGTTATTTTACCAAATTTTATAGAAAATTTAATATCAAATATAGTTTTATTTTTGCATACTATTTTATGCCATTTTGTTTATTTTTAAGCGAAAAAAACTTCGTGAATCATTCAATTTGCCTACAAAATTATATAAATTTAGAATTAAATGTTAATGACATACATATATTGCTATATCTATTTTATTATTAGATGCTAAAAATTTAATGTATGCCCATTATTTTTACAATTTATTTTCTTAATGTATTTAGATTTCATTGACTTACTTTGTCAATGTTACAATCATAAAATTCGTTAAATAATGTTTACATATTATTATGTGTAAATGTGTTCACATTGTAATATTATAAACTTCATCAGTTTTTAGAGAATTTAATAATGGTGCACTTTTTAATGACTGTTATGTAACAATAAATTTTTAAGGAGCTTTGTTTACAACACACAATTTGGTAGCATGACAATAATATCAAAGAATTCAAATGATTAATACCATATCAAATTTTAAGAAATAGAGCACATAATAAGCATGTAGGAAAAAATTTTCAAATTAATAGTGCAAAATATTGTTAAATAACATATGTAAATTGAAATTAAAATATTAATAATAAAGTATA